CGTACCGAACCGGAAGCCTCGAACCGAAACGGTTCAATACGAATACATGTACCGTTACACCCCTATAATCAACGCATTCTCACCCCAAGGCGTCACCTTTGACCATGCTTCAATATTTGACGTTTTAGGCGCCCTTTAGCGTCACTTACATGACGCGATCCTACGGCGTCATCTAACTGACGCTAAAGGAAAGTGTCAGTTAGAGGACGCGGTTAGGTTTAGGTGTGGGGTGGGGGTAGGGTACACGCGATCCTAGGGCGTCATCTAACTGACGCTAAAGGGCGCCTAAAGCGTCAGATATTGAAGCATGTCCAAATGCTTCCCAAGGCGTCAGTTAAGTGACGCCTTGGGGGTGAGAATGGGCTGCTATAATACACCATCTTTGGATTGCTATATCATTGATATTGTGATATGATACTTTTTTATCATGTAAAAATGTATACCCGTGTTATCATGGATGGTATATGACACACCCCTACTTCCTGCACTTTACCTGTTTGTACCCAACCCATGGGTAGAGACCGGCTCCACATGGAGATTATAGAATTTCACAAATGTGTTAGGTGTCGCCCTGCCCGCAGCTCTGCAGATATCAGCTCTCACTCCGAGGGGGCACGGCTAGCTTTGGGAATGGTACACCAAGGTGATGGCATCCACTACCCTGCACCTCTGATTGAGACAGCCTTTCTCTTCTGCGTGAGTGTGGTCAGGAGCACTGTCTTTACACACAGTATTTTAAAGGGGTCATGAACTGTTTTTTTTAAATTTTATTGTATTGTTGTCTGAGGTAAACTTATTATGTTCGCTTGGTTTTTGCATTCAAAAACATCAAAATGAATAAGTAATAGGCTATTTTGTACCCTAGTTTTGAGCCTAGCTGAAAAACGCACGGTTTTTATGGGCGTCTCGCGCTGAAGACTTGGAGGTAAACGCCCACTGCTGTGAGTGGATAACAGTTTTGCATATTATAATGAGTTTCAACTCACCTGTCGATGCACTTGGGGGAAATTGCTTTGAAAACGTCCAATATTGTAAAATGGGAACCGGAATGATTCGCCCATACATGTTCGACCCAGAGTCCGTGTGTTGCACAATTCCTGACGGCACAGCACCGTTCTTTACTCTTAATCGGTCTGCAAATCCAGTCTTGTTTACAAAACAATCCTCAGTGTAATGAAGCCATCAGACGGACAATGTTTTACCCTCATCAGCTGGAACGTCATTAAAAATAAAGTTTATCCATGCAGTCCTATTGGAATCCAGAGGAAGCTTATGCAGCGACTGTCTTCATCCACAACCAGGCGCTGCACAATATTCTGTATTGCTCGGTAGCTCGATCCGGTTTGTCATCGCGAGTTAGGCCTATGTTTTTTCAGCCCGTTCTCATCCTTTAGTGTCACATGACAAAACGGCGCTATACTACGCATATGGCACCCTTTATCGTTAATATTCACGCGAACCCAAGGCGTCATAAATCATTTCGCGTAATATGAGACTACCCTACCCTACCCCACACCTAAACCTAACCATCACAGCGCGTGTTATATTAACGATAACGGGTGCCATGTGCATAGTATAGTGCCGTTTTGTCATATAGCGTTCTATGTGACGCTATGCGTTGGTTATTTAGCTATGCGTGTAATGCACGAAACGGTGATCTTCAACTTCAACTTGGTGGTGTTTTATCCTCTTTGACGTCATAGTTCCCCACTTTGAAAAACGAGTCGTTTGCTGATCCTGGTGTCAATAAAAGCTTTTATTGGACTAACAAGGACGTTTTCAGTTCTGAAACTTACAGGATATTCTTATAATATGATGACCTCTTAGATGTCAAAAGCTCAACGAAAATTTGATTTCTCAGTTCATCACCCCTTCAAGCTCAACTGATTCTATTGGCTCGAAAGGAGCTCTTACCTGAAATGATGAAAGAGGTCCCAGGAGGGGATGAGGCGCAACCTGGACGGATTCAATCTGAAACCTGATGACCCGGTCATCCTTTCCATTAACAGCATTGTGATGTGCTGCGATTGCGGCAACATACACCTTCAAGGTGAAGGGGGACAGCCTCCGCTTCAAGACTTCTTGAAGGAAGTAATGAGTGGTCGATCATGTGGAGCATTCCTAAACTATACCTATGAAGAGGTTTTTTTGTATCCATATTTGGACCTCAAAGCATACAACCTCACATGACCCTAGACCCCCCACCCCCACCCCCCAGTTGGGAGCCACTGGCTTAATGGCTGGCACCTGTCTACACTATATGTGAGCGTTGAGTTGCTTCAAAAGCAATAGATAACGGATGCCGTCTACTCAGGTAATGCAATCGTGTAATCGATTTTTAAAGTGCACACAATGATGAGTTATCCGAAATAATCCACTAAACTTGACAATTATGTAATCATCGTGACAAGCCTGCTTGATGTTCACTTTAACTAAAGTATTTTGTGTAAAAGTCGGGTCTTCATTTCTTTGTTAACTGCTTAAAGAAAATAAGAAGAAGAGCTGCAAGAGGGATTCACAAGCTGTTGATGAACAGCTTGTGTTGTTGAAAAATGTGTTGAAATAATGCAGTGTTTTTTTCCCCGTATAATGTACAGTGAAATGTACTGAAAGTGTTGTATTGTAGTCTTGCCTTTCTGAAATGTTTCTGAAGCTGCCAGAGCAGTACAGCTCTCAGTCACATATGCCTTGTTCCAGTTTCTCTCAAGGATATCTACGGACTCCATGGTTACTGCCTCACAATATTGTTTGATTGCTTTGCCAAGGTCCTCAACCTTCATTATCAATTGAAGATTAGATAGATAGATAGATAGATAGATAGATAGATAGATAGATAGATAGATAGATAGATAGATAGATAGATAGATAGATAGATAGATAGATAGATAGATAGATAGATAGATAGATAGATAGATATTGTTGTAGATGAAAACAGAGGCTTGCATTTATCGCACCTTCCCCTCACAATCTGACTTTAGGAGTGCTGCCAGGGACTGAGAACTGAGAAACGCCTGAGAGCACATTTCCACCTCTAATGCAACATTATTATTGTATGTCTGTCTGTCTCCAGCCTGCAGTATCACAGCCCCACTTCCCAAAGACTCACTGTCATATTTATCATTATCTTTTGTTAATTTCTCGCCTTTTTAATGGTTCAAGTTAAATTACTTAAAGGGTTAGTTCACCCAAAAATGAAAATTAAGTCATTAATTACTCACCCCCATGCTGTACCAACCCCGTAAGACCTTCGTTCGTCTTCGGAACACAAATGAAGATATTTTTGATTAAATTTGAGAGCTGTATAACTACCACATTGGCTCCTAAGGGACTGCCTCTTGACGGCCCAGAAAGTCAATGAAGAAAATGTTTAAATATCCCAAGTGACTACCGTGGCTCAACTATATGTTTATCAAGCGACGCGAATACTTTTTGTGCGAAAAAACAAACAAAAATAACGAGTTTATTCGACTATTTCTTTTCTTCCTTGTAGGCCAGAAACGAGACTTCCTTAGATTTCCACGACGCATGCGCGAGAATTGCGATCTGCAGAATAAACTCGTTATTTTTGTTTGTTTTTTCGCACAAAAAGTATTCGCGTCGCTTGATTAACATATAGTTGAGCCACGGTAGTCACTTGGGATATTTAAACATTTTCTTCATTGACTTTCTGGGCCGTCAAGAGGCAGTCCCTTAGGCAGCCAATGTGGTAGTTATACAGCTCTCAAATTTAATCAAAAATATCTTCATTTGTGTTCCGAAGACGAACGAAGGTCTTACGGGGTTGGTACAGCATGGGGGTGAGTAATTAATGACTTAATTTTCATTTTTGGGTGAACTAACCCTTTAAAATTCGAAACACATTATAAATGTTAGAAATGTATTTCTAAAACACATTACGAAGACTGTGAACTGTGAAGTACTGAATTGTGGAGTTTTTTTCACCATTGCTGTGTTCCAGATTTTTTGGGGACACACCCCCAGCGTTTTAGAGCAGAGAATACTGCTCATTTTTTTAAAGATTTTGAAAGCTAATTTTACTCACCCCCATGTCATACAAGATATCCATGTCATTCTTTCTTCAGTCGAAAAGAAATTAAGGTTTTTGATGAAAACATTCCAGGATTTTTCTCCATATAATGGACTTCAATGGGAACCAAACGGTTCAAGGTCCAAAACACAGTTTCAGTACAAAATGCAAACTGTTCAAAGGGCTTTAAACGATTCCAGACAATGAATAAGGGGCTTATCAAGCGAAACGATCGCTCATTAAAAAAATAAATAACAAAGTTTAAGTTTAATAAGCTCAAATGCTCTCCTTGCTCTGTTCTGTGATGCGTTCGTGACTCTCCTGTTTGAACTCGTTCACCAAAATGAACAAATCTTTTTTCGTGTCATTTGGTTCATTCAACGAATGAGTTGACTTGGGAAAAGATTTGTTCATTTTGATGAACGAGTTCGAAAAGGAGAGTCACGAACGCGCATCACAGAACAGAGCAAGGCGAGCATTTGAGCTTTTAAAACTTAAACTTTTTTTATTTTTTTTAAATGAGCGACCGTTTCAATTGATAAGACCCTTATTCATCGTCTGGTGTCGTTTAAAGCCTTTGAACAGTTTGCACTGAAACCTTGAACCATTTGGTTCCCAGTAAAGTGCATTATATGAAGAAAAATGCTGTTAATTTCTTTTCGACTGCAGAAAGAAAGACATGGATATATTGGATGATGTGGGGGTGAGTAAATTATCAGCAAAAGTTTTACAGTCAAATTGTCTGAAAAAAGGTGGAAATAAATGTTTGCAGTATAATCACTTGATGGCTTGTTAACAAGATCATATGTAATAGCAGAACCAAATCATAAGGATATTAATGTTGTGAAAATAAAATCAGCATAAACTCAGCTAACATTGTAGAGACTACAAAAATCAAATGCAATTTAAAAGTGTTGAAAATAGGATCATTAGCATCTTTGATTCACCTTTTTTTGTTTGTTTTACCCATTAGCTCTGTTCAGCTGGAAAGTGATGATGACGAAGTGACAAACAAAACATGGGTTCTGACCCCCAAAGTGTATGAGAGTGACGTCACACATATATTGAACAGCTTACTAGATGGCTATGATAACAAGCTGCGACCAGACATTGGAGGTAGGTGTCTGTTTTGTTTATTTATTTATTTTTATGTTGAGTTCTGAATGTGAAATTGTTTTATTTTGTTTAGGGGTGAAGTATGTAGTTTCTTCGACCTAGCAGAATTACAAAAATAAAGCATATTTTCAAACGACTTTGAAAAACAGGTAAAAGCTACTTTCAATAAAATGTCCAACATATCAGGAATATGTTTAGCTGTGCTGCAATGTGTCATAAATACCCAATTATTTTCCCTTTCTCAGGGAACAGTGAACACTGCGTAGGGACCCTGTAAATTGGAACGCTCAAATCATAGAGCTCTCTCTTTACTGTCTCCCCTAATGGTTTAAATTAGGTGTGTTAGACAAGATACATACACAATGGCTGCGTCCGAAAACTTAGACAGCTGACTGGTTGTCTCACTGCCTTATTCGGCAATGACTTTGTAGGCTTTTGACTTTTTTTTTTTTTTTTCAAATCGGACACATGCCCCTAAAAGCCTTTCACTGTTCTCACACATCTATTTTTAGTAGGACTGTCCAGCCCTGCAACACTGGCTAAACCCTCTGGTAAAGTAGCCAAGCCCTAAACTCTCACTATAGGTTGAGCTGGAAAGAGATTGACTGATCTGAATGGACCACTCACAATGCATTGATAGTGCCCGGGAAGCATAGTGTTTACACTTTTGGGGGACATAAACCTATAAATTGCATACTAATAGTAGTCAATAAACAATTGGCTTGCATACTTCTTAAATAACTCACATTTATCAACTGGATAAAATACATGTCTAATCTCCAAAAATTCTGAACCTTATTAAATATTTAAGTTTGCACCACTGATCTGTATAATGACTGGATTACATTGCGTTCTAAACTGCCATCAGGCAGTGAAGTCACCGGAAGTGTTTGAGCGGCCATCTTACTATTCCCTACCGACAGAGGGCATCATTGATTTAAAGCCAAAACATTGACCTAAAAATCAATCCTGCTCAGTCTCTCAGAACTGGTCATTTCTTCATGTACGTAATTACGGAGGAAATATTAAACATGAACATGTGTGTTCAGTTGTAGAAATTGACTTGAATAGACTATACAATCAAAATGAATACAGGCTTCATTTACTATATTGACTATATTGCATATATTGGATGCCTATTAACAATTTAATTTACCATACACCATTGGAAATGAAGCCGTCAGCGTAATTTGTTTAAATAAGTTATGATGCATGTATTTCATTTCCAACATCTCTTTCAGACTCTTTAAGACAGTGCAAATTCTATAGCATTTTACTAGAATTACAGTTTCCAAATGAGTAAAGTGTTATGTAGGCCACATGTTGTTGAATTCATTATTAATTTAACCATAATTTAAATTATTAACTGCTTCGAAATGCATGCTGTAGACAAAATCATTGTTGAAAATATTTGCAGTTAGCCTACTGTGTGAATAAAAACAATACTACAACCCAACATTCATACATAAACACAACAGTAAAAGGCTATAATGAAGTTCGGTGATAAGGGAAGGAGGAGGCAGAAACCGTTGAACGTTTCGGTTATGAACGTGAACGAACTTTAAAGGTTCTCTGAGCGATCCTGGGTGTTGACGTTCGGGAATATTTTCAAACAAATCGGACGGAGGCTAGACCCTCCCTCCTCCGCATCTCATCTCCTCCCCCTCCCTTCCGTGCTTCTTGAAATAATTGTGAACGTGCATTTCTAGCTAATTATATTCTTGTGTGGGTTTGGCGAACATAAGCGTCAATTTACAAGAAAAAAAACAATGTAACGTTACCCACCTGTCCAGCAAAAACAGAGCAACCTGAATGTCGGACTGGAAGCCCTTCTGCCGCCGGAGTTCTCGCCATCGTTCAAAAGCTTTGCTACCGATGTAAATTCGGAACTTCGCACGTTCTTTATCCGACTCCATCTTCTTTTTAATTTGTTCCTCAGAACGACGTCTCTTTGGTCGTGTTTCGGCCATTTTTCAAACTTCCCTCTGATGCTTCTCTCTCCTTCACACACACACCCTCTTCATGTGCACGTGCACTAACCCCCCGGACCCACCCTCAAATACTTCTTGCCAGTGATTGGCTGGAACACTGTTTGTTAGGTTTCGTGGTCCGGGTGAGACATGATTGTTTTTGTTGCCGTTTTTGGAGCCTGTGGTGTCTACAGGGACCGCGTTTTTTTACAGTGTGTTTAGGGGACAGGCAGCTAGCCGGAGGCGTTTGATGTATGTGACAAAAAATGTTTTGGCCCCACATCGCTTAGAGAACCTTTAATCATATAAAATAAACAAACACAAAACGAAAGCCCCTAACGGACAACTGCTGCACACACATAAACAAAACATAGCATAAAGTCCACACCTGGTCCTCTCTCGTCCTTCACTGTTGTCGCTCCTCCTTTTATGCTTCCGAAGGTTCTCTGTGAGAAACCTGAGACTGGTGCGGCGTCCAGGTGACTCTCATTTTCAGTCACACCACCGGCCTTATCCTGCCTATCACATACCCCCATCGCCCCTCGCCGGCCGGCGCTCTACTCCACCCACCTCCGGGGGGACCAGTCACGGCAGCCGCAGTACATTGGGGTAAGGACAGACGAGGTGAAAGAAAAGGAGATGGAAGCATAAGGATTACAAGAAAAGAAAAAAAAATCTTGGTCAGGTTCCTGAACACACTGCCGCTCGGTCTTCAACCAGCTGAGAGACTCTTACTCGAGGTGCCGAGTGAGTGCAATGGTACTTGACATCCTTTGTTGGATGGCTCAATGCTCCTCTGCCTCCTGGCGGACAGCGATGGCTCCTCCGGTTGAGGGCAGCCAGCAGCGAGTCACACATTCCATGCGAGTCCCCAAACAGGGTGGAAAGCAGCAGGCTCCGGACTCCTAGCAAACGCCACACACTCCTCCGCTCACTCTTTGGATGCCAGCCGCCTCTCCTCGAACCAGAAGCGCCACCCACCTTGGTCTCTGCTCCCCCATGCAGTGAGGGCTCTCCGACAGCGTGTCCCTCCTTCATTTCCGGGTTTCGGCACCAGTGTATTGAAGTTCCTTGATAAGGGAAGGTGTCGGGAACCCGCAAAAATTTCAGAACTTTAACCATATAAGATAAATAAACACAAAGACAGAAAGGGAACGAGAAGTTGTGTCATGGTGTTGACGCTATGGGAATGCTTTGTGCGAGCCAGTGTCTGAAGCATGTGTTATACACAGCAATTTTTGCTACCAAAGTCAGGTGACATCACAGGTGAGCCTTCCCTTTAGGGAAATGGGACTAACCTTCAAGACCAAATGACCCATGGCAGAGCTAGCTAGAGAGACTCCCATAACTCCCAATGAAGGGGAAAGACCAAAGTATTGGTATCCTGACTGTCCGAACTCTTGGCTATTAGGTCTCAGGGGTAACCTAACTGAAGGGAGTGTAGAATCAAGTAACCCATTCTATGAACTGGAAGATACCTCAGGAGAGAACTGTGCTCTCTCAGTTGCCTGCTCTACCTAAGGAAAATCTCAAAACTGCTTTCGGGAAGTCTGCCGATTGAGTACTAAAAATGGACCATCTATAGCAGCTTCCACATCCCCCTGCTCTCTATTACAGACCACACAAAACGGTATGTGGACCCTGCCTGACGACACCCCACCTCCATCATCCGAAAGGAACCACCGAGAAAGAGGGCCAGCCACAACCACTTCTTTCTCCAAGAGCTCCATTACCAAAAGACTTGCCAGAGAAAGTCCACCTGTTAGCCAAGTGGCCCTATCGGCTAGTGGTTGCCCAGTCCTGCGGTTCTAGTGACGAAATGTAGATTCTACCTCTGCCAAAGTACTGGCAGAGATGGCAATGGCAACCTTTATGATCTGTCCCTCCATTGCTCCTCGTGAACTGCCAGAAACCAAGTTAACATAGCAGCTTCCCTACTGTATGTCCACACTATCACCACCAGACCATGCTGGAGAGGCGACAGATAAGGGAATAAGACGCGAGTTGTGGCCATGCCCATTCTCCTCCTCCGTGCAGCCACATCATATATGATTAAATGAGGAAGAATAATGTTATGTAACCTCCATATCTATTTGGATCGGAGGGGCTGACACATTGGAAAGTGGGATGCTGCCAGTGGTCATGCCCATTCTTTCAAGTTAGTGAACACAAGGGAAGTGCAGCAATTACACTCCCAAGTCTATATCGAATATACAAATGGGTAACACCGTATTCCGATAGTCCACTTTAGACATTCTACTAACTGTGAGTAACTTTGCTACTACATGTCAACTAACTCTCATTAGAGTATTAGTAGACTGTCAGCTTAATATCTGCCAACGCTTTATTGTGATGTTCCCCCAACAGACATTCAACTGACTATAAGCAACTTGGAAACTACAAGTCAACTTATTCTACTAACCTGGACAATAACACCTAACCATAACCCATACCTGTCAACATTTGGTTGCTCTCAGTGCCCTCTTGGACGGAGTGTATTTGAAACCAAACTAGTGTGGTTTCTTTGCGCGGACGCCGCCTTCACCTGCCATCATGCCTATCAGCTCGCGACGCTTTCGGGTTGAACTTTCCGCGACTGCGCAACTTGGTTGCCAGGTTGAGCTGACCAATGGGCTGAAATTGTAAATAGTGTGTGGATTGTGTGAATATAATGCATTTAACACAAATCTGGCAACTTTAAGCTATAACAAATTGTTCTATATCTAATCGGTCTCAGGCACTACAGCTTCCTGGCACAAAGCAACATATCATACTCGGCCTTCACGTCATGTCACTGTCATTAATCCCTAATCTTAGCTCTTTAGAGCTCCCTCGTCTAAGTACTTAAGGATGCCAGCTTGGTAGTGCTGCCCTTGACTAAAGGTTTTTCTAGTCGACTATTAGTCATTCATTTATTCGATTATTTGACTAATCACATGTGTATATTAATAAGCCAAATCATAATAATGAGCCTTTAATTGCCAAACGGGGGAAATATATGTCTACCTCAGATGTAACGTTTGATCTGTATTGACAGCATCTGGGAATAACATTATAATCTCGTTCACGGTAGAGAAAGCTGCTTACATTTAGGCTACACAAGAAAAGTAACCATGAAGACATTGAATTAAACATACCTGACCTATAAACATCAGGATTTTGAATTAATTGCATGGGTTAACATGTTAGCGTTGACAGCCATAGTAAAAATACATAACAAAATTAAGTTGTGAGAAAATATTTGTTGTGACAAAAACTTTGAAAATATGAGAAAGATGAGAAAATGTAATCCTCAACGTCCAGAGGAATTAAAAGCCTAAGTTAATAGGTGGATTTTTAATAATGATTTAAAACTGGAAATAGTCTGAGCCAATCTAATGTGAATGGGTAACAGATTCCAAAGTTTCGGGGCAGCGATCGAGAAAGCACGATCCCCCTATGTTTATGTCTGGATCTAGGGATCATTAAGAGAAACTGATCAGAGGACCGTGTATGTGGGTGGACCGTGTATTTGATGTATGTGGGTGCCAGACCATTTAAGGATTTAAAAACAAACATTAAAAGTTTATATTCTACACCGCAAAAAAATGATTTTTTGGTGAAGTAAATACTAGTGAAAAAACCCAATGTAATTTATTTGAAACTAATTTAGGCAAAAATTAAAAAAAACTAAGTAAATTCCATATCAGTACTTAATTCAAGCGAGTAGAAATGAAAGTGTAAATATCAACTCAATAAAATTAAGTAAAATTTACTCAACTTTTCTGACACTGGGGTTCCCATCATGCACTGAACCTTAAATAATTAATGAGGTTCATTTTTCACTGGTTTCCAGCTGTATTTACACTGTTTTATCATTGGTTTTTGTTGTCAGTATTAGTAAATTGCCATTTTGTGACATTTCGAGTAAATGTTTTTGCTCAAAATGACACATTCAAACACAAAAACGACCCATCAAATTCTACCGCCATTGTGTATTGTCTACCAAGTATTGAGGTGTTTGCATTCAACATCTGGCATGATGTATATATAAATTAGTTAGATGATCTAAGTAAAGCACATACTATAAATTACTAATAAAATTCAAGATTATTGGCAAAGGAAATCGATATTAATCAACCTTTTACTAGCAGAGTTAAAATTACTTGTTAAATTTTTTGTAAAGTTTACTTAATTCCATATTCCAAGTAAATTTAACTTAAAGATTTCTAATTAAAGCTACTGATAAATATGTTTAGGTTTTTACTTGGCAAATCTTTGTAAATTTACTAGCATTTTCTGAGTGAGATAGTTTAGCAAGGTTTTTTCAAGTAAATCCTACTCCAAATTTTTTACAGTGTATACGGAAACGGATCGGCAACCATTGAAGAGAGTACAAGATTGGAGTAATGTGCTCACGCTTTTTTGTACCACTCGGTAGCCTAGCGGCCGCATTTTGCTCTGTCTACAAGCGCCCCAATGCTGTCTGGCTAATTCATGTGTAGAGAGTGTTACAATAATCGAGTCTTGAAAAAATAAAAGCATGAATCACTTTCTCAAGGTCATTAAAAGAAAGAAAGCTCTTTACCTTGGATAGAAGTCTAAGATTAAAAAAGCAAGATTTAACCACATTATTTATTTGCTTATCGAATTTGAGGTCTTTATCAAATAGTCAGTCCCTCCAGGATTTCACGATTTTTTTTTGTGATTTTTGCGATCAAAATGACTGATTTTGTGGTGGTAATTTCCAAAAAATTTTGAAAAAAAATTGCGATTTATATAACATTTACCATAATAGTAGTACGCCTAAGTTCTTCACAAGCAGCTTATTGTACATAGCCAGGGGACCAAGATTGTAACTTAGAGCAACTGTTTTTTTTTTTTTTTTTCATTTGGTCCAAATAAAATGATTTCTGTCTTATTATCATTTATTTCCAGATAATTTGAAGCCATCCAGTTTTTCACGTCATTTACACAGTCCAGAAGCAGATTTAAAGCATTCTCGTTGTGTCGTCGGCATAACAGTGAAAAGACACACCATGTTTAATAAAAATAGAACCCAAAGGGAGCATATATAACAAAAACAAAAGAGGAGCAAGAATGGACCCCTGCGGTACACCACAAGTAATTGGAGCTAACGTTCATGTAACGATGAGGAGGCAAGGAGGAATCCAAATGCAGAAAACAGTTTTAATAATAATAATAAACAAACAAACAAAAAGGGAAATCCACGGAAGACAAAGAAACTTCGAAACAGGAACTCAGAACACAACTCAGAAACAGGAACTCAAAACAACGCTACAGTGAAACATCGACCGACACCCAACAACTGAAACACAGGGGTTTAAATACACAGACAAACAAGCTAAACGAGGGAACAAGGGGGCGTGGTAAATCAGAAACACCTGGGGAAACTTATTAAACAAGAAAGACTACAAAGGACTACAAAACATGGCACAGAAACAGGAAATAACTAAAGTCCACACAAGACAAGGAAAACACAAGACAGGAATCGTGACAGTTCACAAACATTCGCCAAGTTAAGTGCATCAGCCAAATCCTGCAGTAAAATAAATGCAGATTTGAAATAAATGTATCTGAAATGGTCTCTATGAAACACATGCATAAATCAAGCTGTTCAAATGATCTAAGCAACAAAGTAAAAAACTATTTATTTGTAAAAAAAAAAAAAAAGAATAATCATTTTTATGTCCCATTTACAGCGTCAATGACCATATACATGCATGACTGCCTACTGTTAAAGTACATGTGATGGCATTTAACAGCCTGTCATATTACCTGCAAACTAGCCTTTTTTACATGCCATGGTTACACACTGGGTAGTCTATAAATGACAACTGATGCTAAATGGTGGTGACAGCTTGGGTACGGCAGAGCATTGGACTCTCTTTATTAGCAAACAGTACAGCTGTAATATTATATTATAGTGTCATTCGTTCATTCATTCATTCATTCACTCAGAGTTCTGCCATGACCTGCAATCAGTAGCTAAAACAACACTGCAAAAAGCTTATTAAAAAACATTTAGACATTATTAATGGTTAATTAAACTTTAGATATTTACTATTTGTGCTTGTGTATATTTGGATGCCTATCATATACATTTTATTGAATTAGATGAAATATCAAATCAAGTGATGTTTTTTGAAGAAAAGGTCCACAAATAAAACTTTTCACAATATAAATGCAAGTGCAGACTTACTACATTGTCGTTACCTTGATAAACGTCTTTTGAATGTACTCTGAGATAACTGAACTAATTTTACGTTCTCCTTGTTTCTCTCCACTGCCCTTTTACAGTCAAACCAACCGTGATCCATGCAGACATGTTTGTCAACAGTATTGGCCCAGTAAATGCCATCAACATGGTAAGAGTTATGCTCTAATCACAAATTATTTTATGAAAGAAAAAAAGGATAATATAGTGTTTCTTTCTTTCACCAGCAGATTTTTAATGTCTACACTCAGATAAAAATGGTACAAAAGCTGTCACTGGCCCGCTACCCTTTAAAACGGTTTTGATATGTACCATTTAGATATCAATATGTACACTTTTGATACCAATATGTGTACATTTTGAAAGGGTAGCGCCCCTGTGATAGCTTGTGTATTATTATTATTCATATTTTTTTTAATTATTATCATTCAAATACATTATTAGAAACATTATTACATTAGAAACTGAACATTAACATTGTTTATTACATTCTACTGTAACTGTGCCTCAAGTGTTCTGTTTGGTTTTACTGAAACGTAATATGCTGCAGAATAAATTTTATTTACTGTATTGTATTTTATGGCTTTTTTTTTATTTTATTAGACAGATTAGAGAGCTGTACCAAATAATTTACCATTATTGGGAATCCCTAAAATTCTAAATTGTCTAGAATTTTATATCCATTTCAGATGGGGTTTTTATGTTTACGTTCTGTAGTGTTTTGTGTAGTGTTGCATGTTGTATATAATCTTATTTAGAAGAATAGCAACAGACAATTTAAAGGAGTAGTTCACTTAAAAAAAAAAAAAAAAAAAAACGTTTGCTGATAATTTACTCACCCTCATGTCATCCAAGACGTCCACGTCTTTCTTTCTTCAGTCGAAAAGAAATTAAGGTTTTTGATGAATACATTCCTTGATTTTTCTGCATATAATGGACTTTACTGGGAACCAAACGGTTCAAGGTCCAAAAGACAGTTTTAGTGCAAACTGTTCAAAGGGCTTTAAACGATTTCATACAATGAATAAGGGTCTTATCAAGTGAAACGATCGCTCATTAAAAAAAAAATATTACAAAGTTTAAGTTTTATAAGCTCAAATGCTCGCCTTGCTCTGTTCTGTGATGCACGTTCGTGACTCTCCTGTTCAAACTCTTTCATCAAAATGAACAAATCTTTTTTCAAGTCATTTGGTTGATTCAACGAACGAAATGAACAAATTGACAAAGTGGATCAAGTTGTGTTTTTAATGGGAGGCTTAATAACAACCAGCCTAGATTTACATTTTTTTACATTTAGCTGATGCTTTTATCCAAAGCGACTTACAATTGCTCTATATATCAGAGGTCGCACGACTCTGGAGCAACTAGGGGTTAAGTGTCTTGCTCAGGGACACATTGGTGTCTCACAGTGGATTCGAACCCGGGTCTCTCACACCAAAGGCATGTGTCTTGTGCACTGCGCCATTACCAACCAGCCTAATGGCAATGATGAATTAATAACATTAAGAAAAGGATGACTTCTCTTAGTCAGAATAGGGTTTAATATATTTTTGATTTGGATGAATTAACAAGTTTAGACCATTCTTCCTTCCTATAGGAATTTTTCGTAGAATTTTCTCTCTGTTAGTATCAATCTTATAAGTGAATAAATTCATAAAGTCATTACTTCAGTGCTGTTGGGAAATGTCTGAACATGTTAATGCTTTATTTCTTATTAATTGTGTTGTGGGTTGTGTTTTCGTCCAAGATAGTCGGAAAATAAGCAGATGGCTTTCTGTAGTTAGAAATACCATCCTTCCATGTGATGCAAAATACCTCTAGTTTTGTTTTCTGGGCTGTTCTCTTGAGGGCACGAGTGTATTCATTATACCACAGCATCTGACTGTTCTATTTAATCCTCAAGTGCAAAGGAGCAACCGTGTTTAAAGTGCTAGAAAAGAGACAAGAGACTGTGTAGTTTCTGTTGCAGTTTCCTGAGCTATTTGGTATGCTGAGGAGTTGAGACAATCAGGATAATTGTTTATAAAGTAATCTTTAGCGGCCTTGGCTAAATGAAGTACCAGATTTGATTGATTCCATGTGTCAATATTACATTTAAAAAATGATTATGACAATGAGTAGGTCCTGACACGTTTTCTAACTCCAATAGAATGCCAATGGCAATCCCAATACATCTTTTTCATTATCCATGCGTTAAAATCACCAACAATTGAAGGGTTAGTTCACCCAAAAATGAAAATTCTGTCAGTATTTACTCACCCTCATGTTGTTCCAACCCCGTAAGACCTTCGTTCATCTTCGGAACACAAATTAAGATATTTAAGATATTAAGATCGCTCCTGCATACAGTCCATAGGCTTCTTGGGGGACTGGCTCTTGCTGTCCCCGAAAAGTCATTAAAGACATTGTTAAAATAGTCCAAGTGACTACAGGGGCTCAATCTTAAGTTTATCAAACGACGAGAACACTTTTGTGCGCAAAAAAACAACAAAAATAACGACTTTATTTCAACTATTCACTTCCTTCTCCATGAGCCTGTAAGTCAGTTAACATAGTGTGATTGCGTAGAGCTACGTCACACGTAGGCTCACTATTGGCAGACGCTGGTCATGCGTGTGTGATGCGTGTGACGTACAATAACAGAAGCTTACGCTATTAAACTAGTAACCTGACTCGCGCAGAGGGAGAAATAAACGAATAGTTGAAATAAAGTCATTATTTTTGTTGTTTTTTTGCGCACAAAAGTGTTCTCGTCGTTTGATAAACTTAAGATTGAGCCCCTGTAGTCACTTGGACTATTTTAACGATGTCTTTAATGACTTTTCGAGGACAGCAAGAGCCAGTACCTCAAGAAGCCTATGGACTGTATGCAGGAGTGATCTTAATATCTTAAATATCTTAATTTGTGTTCCGAAGATGAACGAAGGTCTTACGGGGTTGGAACAACATGAGGGTGAGTAAATACTGACAGAATTTTCATTTTTGGGTGAACTATACCTTTAAGTCTTTATCTGCAGCCAGTACTAACTCCAATAGAAAATCAGCAAATTCTTTGATAACGTCTTGGTGGTGGCTTGGTGGCCTGAATACAGTAGCCAGTACAAATATCAAAATCGATTTATTGTTTACATTACATGACGTTATTTAAAGCAATATCACTTGAATCAGAACTATGAGAAATACTAAAAAAAAATACTGTAATTGTAGCAATACCTTTCCATTTGGTTTTCAGACAAGGCCCGTGTTTATAACAGGAATTTCAGGGAACAGACACTCTCTATATATTACACTCTAAAAAATGCTGGGTTGTTTTAACCCAATTTTGGGTCAAATATGGACAAACCCGAAATGTTGGGTTAAAAATGTAATGTAAAAATTTAACCCAACGGCTGGGTTAGTCCATATTTGACCCAAAGTTGGGTTAAAACAACCCAGCATTTTTTAGAGTGGGGTGAAAGAGTCAGTATTTGCTGAGATTTATCTAACTTCTGTGATGTGAGGCGGCTTGCAGATGGTTGGTTTAGCAAGTCTGTCTGCTTCCTAACCAGTCAAGTACCAACTTTAAGACTATGGCCCCGTCCACACTACTGCGTTTTCGTTTAAAAACGGAGACCTTTTGTTACGTTTGCACCTCCCGTCCACACTAAAACGGGAAAAACTAAGACCAAAAACGGAGAAGTTTAGAAACGCTGACGCAGAGGCTGACGCTTGGCTCTATAATTGGGTGTTATTAGTCATGACGTATCCTTCCCTGATTCGCCATTCACTGTTTACACCGGCATGCGCATGCCCAGTGTTGGTGAATGGTCACGTGATCTGCGTTTTCAGTCGTTTTAAGATCATTTCTAATACGCAGATAAAACGCTGGTGTGGACGGAGATAGTATTCGTTTTAATTCTCCGTTTTTAAACGAAAACGCTGTAGTGTGGACGGGGCCTATGTGCCATATATCTAGAGAGAAGATTGGCACCACCCCTGAAGGGATGAAGGCTATCTCTTTTAAGCAAGTCAGGTCTGCCCCAAAAACTTATGAATAACTTCAACAAATATGAGTAAGCAGCAGTTTCTATTTTTCCCGTTTCCTGCAACTTGGACTATAACGCTGTTTGGCCCATTGTCAATTCATTCAAGATTCAAACCTCCAAAGAAACACAAATAAAACTGATGCTGGCTACTTCTTTCTCTGTAAGATCTGTGTTTAATAAAGAGTTGTGACCCTTACACGTTACACAAGTTAATCCAAAATGTATACATTTTGAAGCCTATATAAAAATTTTAAAAAACACAATCAGACACAATAAAGTTGAAAAAACCATAAGCAGGTTATAACTGTGTGTTTTATGTCATAGATCAAAACGTGAAAATATTTAGAGGATTTGTTCACCACAGACCTTATTTCAGGCGATTTAGCAAAAACCCATTCAAAAATCCCATAGGCTTTAGGGCGAGGGAACCGTAGTGCTAAAATGCTAACTCACTTCCGCGTTTCGGCCTACAGAGTGACGTCGTAACTTCGGCACTCTATAGTGCATATGCTCCAGTGCACGTTTGATTTTGGCTTGTCAATTCTTTATCCCATTTATTTCTCTTGATGCATCGAAAATGGCCAAAAATGGCAAATAAAGTAAAATGCATATATTCTAATTGTGACAAAGGTGTATGCACTCAATAATTGGTTTTGCCTTTGTCAGTTAGCCTACACAAAGGTCTAAAAGGTCTGCCCTTTATGATTCTTTAGGAGTACACAATTGACATCTTCTTCGCCCAGACGTGGTATGACAGACGGTTGAAGTTCAACAGCACCATGAAGGTTCTACGTCTCAACAGCAACATGGTAGGAAAAATCTGGATCCCTGACACGTTTTTCCGCAACTCCAAGAAGGCAGATGCCCATTGGATCACCACACCCAATCGGATGCTTCGGATATGGAACGATGGGCGTATACTGTACACTTTAAGGTAAATGCACTTTTTATTTGTTAACGATTGCCCTCATACCTATGTTGAGCACACCCAGATAGCAAACAACCACTGAAACAATGCTAAATCAATGTTGATGCATCAACACAAACTGCATTGAGTTAAAGTTACAACAAGTGGAGTTGGTTCAGTATCACCTTTTGAAACACATGTTGAAACCATGTTGAATAAAAAAAAAATCATTGGTAGTGTCATTAAAACAATGTTACAATGTGATGTTGATTCAAGATTCTACATCCCTGTTGTTGAATAAACACAATTTGGTGAAAAACGCTTCAAATAAAATAAAATAAAAACACCTTTCCAATAATTGAGTCACTTTGATTTGAATTTTTGATTTAGTGGCCCGAAGGTTCAAGTTTTAAATATCTCGTTTACATCAAACTACTGCCTCCTTTCTTTTGAGATTTCTAAAATTTTGTAAAAAGCATAATGTCACCCGAGAGCAGGTCAAAGGTCACATTCATGAATTTGAATATTTTAAACCAGAAGTAGGATTGAAAAAAAAAAAAAGTGGTTACACAACGAGTGTGGTTGCACAATGATATATTTACACAATTTTTCTAATCATTTCAAACATTTTATTAACCAAAATATAAGCTTTATAAATGTAAAAATGTATATGACTGTAGTCTTAAGACTTTGCACTCTCTCTCTATCTCACTCTCTCTGTCGCACACACACACTCCCTGCATACCAAACAACCTGAATGATGCCTTTGAAGTGTTTATAGTCTAATCATTACTGCTATGCTCTGTTATTACTCAGAGGAAGCTCATTCGCTGCACGTTTCTCATATCATGTCTCCTCGGATGACGAACTTCCATTACATTTCTAGGGTCTGTTCTGTAAATAAGAAACCCAGATAAATGTTTATACACATGAAACATGAAGCTATTATACACACAATTAACATAGTAAGTGATTTGTGTCTGATTTTTATGCAATTTGGCTTTTTTACATAACAATAAAGGCTGTTTAAATGAGCAGGTGCAGCGATTGGGGGTTTAAAAACAAACAAAAATTTCATCCGTTCACTCTGAGCAGAGTCAGTGTTTTAACGTTTCTGTTCAAAAAATCGTTTGATTACAAAAAGTTGGGGTTAATAATGCTATTTTTTTAAAACGTTATACTAAGAGCTTATAACTAAACCTCATAACCCAAGTGGATCCTCAAACTGTCGGCAAAAGCTGCACCCACCCGCATTTTGGAGACCGTTTCTGCTTGTTTGATGTGCAAGGGTAAATTAAAAACTCGTTCTTTGAATAAGTGCAATGTTTTCTTTCATACAAAACATCTCTGTTACGTATGTAACCCTAGATCCCTGAAGAAGGAACAAGACACTGCGTCGAAATGCTGTGGGAACGCTCCAGTGTGACTGCGTCATGAAGCATGTATGGAATCAGTCCAATGGCGAGACGGAACGTCATAGTCGGGTGACATCATCAACCAATAAACTATAAAGCACCCCTGAATCATAACAGCGCCAGCTTCTAATAGGCTGATCACAGACATGCCGGAAGTATGGAGTATGGTATGGGTACGGGAGCGTCTTGTTCCTTCTTCAGGGAACTAGGGTTACATACGTAACCGAGACGTTCCCTTTTAAGGGAACTCGAGCTGCGTCCAAACGCTGTGGGATGCTAATACCCCCGTCACCATAAGAGTAAGTGTCTGTCCGTGTGAAGTCAGTGCGCACATTCAGATGAAAGCACCTGCGCCCCTGGAGTGGAGCTGAAGTCATAATCATAGAACCTCATGAATGTGTGCGGTGAGGATGCCTGCCGCATCACAAACGTCATGTAAGGAAACTCCTGACAATAGAGCTTTAGAAGCAGCCAAGCTCGTACAGCCAATGGTGAAGGATTCGTAAGCAAGTGAGATAGCCTTGGCCACCCACTTGCTCATTCTCTGTTTAGATGCTGGACACCCCTTCCTGGGTGACCCAAAGCAAACAAACAACTTTTCAGATTTCCTCCACTGGGCAGGTCTGTGGACTTATGCATATTAGGCCCTAACAGGGCAGAGCAGATTTATGCCTGGTTCAGCTTACACGATTTTAGCCCGATTTTGGCACGATCCGTTTAACGTAGGGTGTTGTGGGGATTCCTAAAACGACAACGGGCATCAGGACGCAAGATTCGATTGTATCATCTTGTATAGTGTGTCATGGTAAATGGACTGCATTTATATAGCGCTTTCATAGACCTAATGGCCACTAAAGCGCTTTACATATTGCCTCACATTCACCCACCGACGGCGGTGTCAGCCATGCAAGGCGCCATCCAGCTCGTCGGGAGCAGCTGGGGTTAGGTGTCTTGCTCATGGACACCTCGACACTTGGTCAGGTGGAACCAAGGATTGAACCACCAACCTTTCGATTTGTAGACAACCCACATGAACCACTGAGCCACTGCCGCCCACGAGTCATAGTGGGCGACGACCTACGTCGTGTCTGCGATGCTTCACGACATCATGACAAAAAGACTAGCATGTTTAATTTTTTGAAAAAGGCGTCCACGACGGTTCCGTCACATGTATGAGGTTGACCAAAAGGAGCACAAGCTTTTCCGTAAACAAATTTCAAAAATGGCGAAACGAAAGAGAGTGACGATGGTGCTAACGTTAAAACTAAAAGTAAAAATATATAAGAAAACAATATTTTACCTCAGTTCTCTTTGGAGGATTGACAGCCCATACTGTCCTCTTCGAGCAGGGTTCTCAAGTCTCACGCAATGGCCGTGAGACACACGCAATGCAACTAGTTCACATGCTCACATGCCACACCGTGTATTTCTCTCGCTGAAAAGGCAATGCCGAGCAATCAAGGAACGTGTCAATACAACACTCACTCCTTCATTCATTGTTTGTTTATGTTCGTTTCCGGAAGTCACTCGCTACTAGTTTCGCCTTCTCGATGACATCACGCGCGCCGTTAAAGACGGCATGCGATGACTGGTCAGGAAGCCGTGTAGTCTGACATGTGTCTTGTCCACGACAAGATTTTAGGAGTCAAAATCGCCTAATCTGACACAGTGACTAACGTAACAGACAAAAAAAATCGTGTAATCTGAACCAGGCATTAGTTTATCTTGGTCTGACATCAGAAAAGGAGGAGAATAGAATGCCTGCAGTATAATAGGTTTAACAGTATTAGTAGGGACCTTAGGAAGAATGCTGGCCTCAGCCTCAAAGTGCCATGAAGAAAACAAGTTAATAGTGCTTGTGTTACTGACCCTGTCCCAGATGTCCGAGCGAACCCAAAGCAGGACCTGAGCCACGGGGAGTGGGGAACCAAGCCGGCCTCCTCGAAGAGGAGCACTTTTCCTTTGCCGAGATAATCCATCCACCTCACAGGTGTGGCTTATCAAGATCCGTATATCACTGTATACAACAGCGTGCTCCAGGTCCTGGCAATATCCAGCATCTTTTCACAGCCATTGAAGAGGAGTGGACCAACATTCCACAGGGCACAATCAACAACCATTTTTTTTTTTTTGTAATACAGTAAAACTGCACATTTTATAGTGGCCTTTTATTGTGGACAGCCGAAGGCACGCCTGTGCAATAATCATGCCGACTAATCAGCATCTTGATATGCCACACCTGTGAGGTGGATGGATTATCTCGGCAAAGGAGCAGTCCTCACTAACACAGATTTGTGAACAATATTTGAGAGAAATAGGCCTTTTGTGTATATAGAAAAAGTCTTAGATCTGGGGGCAAAATGGGGGCAAAACAAGAGTGATTGAATTCATAATTTTGTTCAGTGTATATATTGATTTATGTGACAACTCCTGCCTTGTAACAACTAAGGACAGACAAAAAACACATTTCAGACAATGATTCACACAGAGCGTTTGCTGAAGGCACTGAAGCTGGCGCTGTTATGATTCAGGGGGGCTTTGTAGTTTCCTGGTCGATGACGTCACCCGCCTATCACGTTCCGTCTCGCCATTGGACTGATTCCATACGTGCTTCATGATCACGCAGGGGCATATTCCTTTCATATTCCTGAGAGGAATATCCCAAGGAGAGCTGTTTGGGAGAGATAAAAGGTCTGTGAAACACACTCTGAGCAGCCAGAAAGGGGCTACTAACGCCCATTCTGGCGTACTCTCTCTAGAATTCCGGCAGCAGAAGGATCAGGGGAAATGCATATAGGCCCAGCCTTGGCCACATCTGAACCATGGCATTAAGCCCCAGTGAAGCTAGATGCATGAGGGAAAACCATAGCGGACAGTGTGTTGTCTCCTCGGATGCGAACAATTTCTCTTCCGCCTGGTCAAATTTCTTCCAAATCAACTGCACCGTCTCGGGATGGAGTTTCCAGTCCTTGTGCCTTAGCCCCTTTCCTGACTAAATGTCTGCTCCCTGATTCAGGTATCTAGGAATATAGACTGCTCTCAGGGAGAACTGAATTATGCACCCTTATATACAATCTGCAGGACTTAACGAGACATGTTTGGCAGAAGCTTCCATGCTGCCAAAAAGTTGATTAAGGGCAACTTTTTTTGCTGCCAAAAAGTTTGTCTGTCTTGAGACTGACCTTTGGTGCATTCTGAGCAGGGAGTCCAATGCCCTGAAGCGGATGACCGGCAAGGTATAACCGCACATACTGCTCTATAACCCTCCCTAAGAAGGGGTAAACCGACATTCCTGTACTTTGCACCCACTCCATAGGCCACACTGTGATTGGCCACAATTCAAAACATTTTGGCTGCATCTCTTACCTCATTTTAATGATCCTCTCCACATCTAGCACACCTTATTTTCCCTTTGCATGTCAGAGCAGTATGTCCAAATATTTGACCGTTAAATATTTGACTGATTTGTTTAGGGACATCACATTATATGTTTGTATCCTAAAGTTACTTTGTTTGGGAGATTTTCTTCCTCAAACTCCAACAGTATACTTTCACTGTCTCATCTTATCCCTTACTATCTTATCCATCTTATAATGGAATGTAATCTTCCCCCATCACAGTTTCTCTCCTTTCAGAGTTAACTTTGACAGGTATACCCTTATATCACTTCTCTATTGCCTCGGCAAAAGCGGGACCCGAAACCGCGGGGAGCGCGCACTGAACCACTCTCCTCGAAGAGCGCTTGGCGGGAGCGGAGCGTCCTAATGGCAGACGCTCGCAAGGCTCACAGTCAGCCCACCTCGGGTGCTTTCCATTGGGCTGATTCCATACATGCTTCATGACGCACAACGCAGGGGCGTTCCCACAGCGTTCGACGCAGCTTGAAGTTCTAGTACTAGTAAGATCACAAAATGATCATGACAGTAGCAAATGTTTGGTCTTTACCTACAGTAAAGAATCAAAACTCCATGCTTCGACGTTTGACATATGGTTTACAGTAATTTATTAAACCTTTACAAAGCTTAATGCTAAATCCTGAAGTATCCCTTATACTTCAGGATTTAGCATTAAGCTTTGTATTAGTAGAAAACCTGTAGTATTTTCAAATTACCATGCTTTCCACCCTCATATCCCCCTGAGACTTTATGTATTTTTTTTTGTCTGAAAAAAATCACTGATGATGCAAAAATTGTCATTTTGTCATCAGAGTATTTTTTGTCCAGAGTCTAAAGACTACAGTCAGTAGTAGGGTCTGTCCCACATGTTCTCAACCCACCCATAGAGGGCGATCTCACACACAGAATGAACACATAGTGTCGGCCATCTTTTTTTGGAAGCTAAGCTAGCAGGCTCTTGTTCTGTGGAGAAAGCTGAGTAGTCGGGGTTACCATCCTCTTTTTCCCGGACATGTCCGGCCGTGGATGTCCGGGATTCAGCTTTTGCTTTCTGCAGTCGCCATTCATTGTTTACATGCACAGCTTTTGTTTCGATCTAACTGAATTCATTCCGATTGGTGAATCTGAATGTAGTGTTTACATGAACGCTAAACAAGTGATCGGTTGATGTGCGTTTTAACATTGCTAAGAAAATTTCCGCTCTCCGTGCGATATACGAGACCGGTGCGCCCCGTTCTCCCGCAGCCCTCACTCATCCTGCTCGCCACAGGAAACATAATGAATGGCGATTGTAGAACGCAAAAGCCCAATCCTGGACATTTTGAGCGATCTCGAAACACATTTTCGTGCAGACTCATCACGGAGACTCAATAGTAGCCTAGACTTGTTGTTTAACTACTGTGCTCTGTTACCGGTAGGCGTGGCCTCCTAGGGCAGCGAAGCAAGTGCAAAATAAATATTGATAAAATATCATTAGAAAAATGTTGATAAAATATAATGTTTGTCATATTTCTTTAGAAAGAATGAGCATCCCTCTTAATTTTCCACAAAATCATGCGATCTGAGGAGGTTTGAGCAATCTCTCCCATCTCGCTATACTGTTAGCCTTTCAGCCAGACAAACAGAGGGAGCTCACGGACAGAAGTTATTTAAGGTTTTTGTTAGCTGGTAGTCTGACATGATAACATGAGAAATGTGCAGCAGTGTTGACCCTCTCCTGACTCAGATAAACTCCACCATTTGTTCATGAGTACTACTCAAGCTTTAGAACAAGGTATTCAGCGGGCCAAAAACTGTTGGCCCCAAGGAAGCCCCAATGAGGCTAGATCAAGCCCCGGGAATGACAGTGGAAACAGGCATGCACTATTATGCTTGCTTTTGGCCTGACAGTGGAATCATGACTATTAGCATTCACTGCACCGGCCCCGCTCCACTCCAATGGCTCTCTGCCCCACCCAGCTTCATACCACAGTTACATTAATACAAATTAGCTTATCCCTGAACATGAGTCCCATCGGATTGATTTTCATTGGCTGTGAAGGTGAAGACAACACCTTGTATGATTCCACGCTCATTAACAGTGTTATCAATCAACAAACTTCTATTGGCGAAAATTACATAGGCTATTGTGCCTTTAAAATGTTAACACATTTTGCGCTATGTGAATTCTGTTTTTATATTATTTGTTTATATGATTCCCACACATTTTGTTCTTTTCCTCATTTCTATATAAGCCTACTATATTATATATTTTGTCATTTTTACTTGTTTGCACATTATTTTTTACTCGCAACCCCTGTCATTTATTTTCACTGATATTTGAATTATCAGAAAAGATCAGTAATAGTATTATCAGTGTATAACAAGTTTTGGTAATAAAATAAAATGTCTGCATCATCTTCCTTAATGAAAATTCACAATGATGTCATATTGATCTATAACCTATTTAAGCTCAATCTGCTCTAGTACATTATCCCTCCCCCCAAGCACATATTTTGACCAGTAAGATGGAGTATATTGCTAAATAAATATACATTTGTCAAAAAGAACGTTTTACATTTAATACTTAAATACTTAAATACTAAATAAGTACTTCTGTGCTTTTATTCAAGTAAAATAGAACTTAATACATTTACTAGTAATATTTTATTAGGACATGTGGACTTTTAATCAAGCACTTGATGTGTGTTCTTCATCCACCATTGTGGGGAATGTACAGCATGTTTATATATTTATATATAGGGCTGTACTGCAATCTAGTGGTTACACAATGGTATTACAGATGATAAATGGTGCATAATTCAGAGGTAAATATATATATTGATCCTGAATTCAGAGCTCTGACAAAGGGTCACAAAAGATTGAATTACCTCACCTGAATAGCCATTGTTATATTATATTACTATATGATATGTAGTTAATCACTACTGATATTTATGATGTTTATTAGTTATATATCATGTGAGTCATGCACATGTGTTTGTATTGGGTGTGAGTAGTCAAAGGATGGGGGATAGGGGGGCTCAAAAACCTGACTATTTTGGAAATAAATGGAAATAAACACACGCACATTTGCATTACGCACATGTGCGCAGTACCACCTTGGTATTTGCATTAATTTTTTAACAACTTGATTATTAATTATTCTTTCTAATTTGGTGTCAAGTGAAGGTCCTGAAAGTCTGTCAACATACCTTCTGTTCTCTTCTTTTTAAAGAACGTCAAAAGATGTCCTTGCACTGTCCTTTTGGCCATTTTTTTAAAAGTGTAAAACTGACAAAAACTTGCCCTGACCTTGTGCACTTCTAACTGAAATATTGAGATCTGATTTATTTAAACACTAATAACAGTCAGTAACAATACAAAATCAATAAACATCAATAAACACAGGAAAATAAGCATTTTACAATCAGTGGGCATTTCAAACCATGATGGGGACTTTTAACTGCCTTACCGACCGGCCATTTGGTTGGGGGATGGCCTCTAGAGATCGCATGATCTTGTGGTCATAAGCTACACATCAATGCTAGGTGAAAATTTCAATGCTGATCCAACATACTTAAAACACTGAAACGTCAATCTCAAACAAAATGGTGGTTTGGAGGTAAAACTCAACATTGTTTCAATATTACCTTGCTATCTGGGTAGCATTTGCAATAAAAACCCTTTACAAGTGATCATGGTTTAACCTTCTTAAATTGATTATTTATGCAACTCTAGTCTGATTACATTCTTCTGGAAAGTATTTATCCAGTTATAAAAATTATAAAGCACGCCTGCTATAAACTGCATTTGATGCCAACTCTCAGCTAGTCATTTGTTTTATTCTGTACATCACTGTATTCTAGTGCTGTAGATTATTAATGTTGTTACGGTTGTGCCAATGAAACAGCTTATATAGAGAAATCTAATTAAGGAAATTTCTGTCTGTAGGTTGACCATTGATGCAGAGTGCCAGCTTAAACTGAATAACTTTCCAATGGATGAACATTCATGTCCCCTGGAGTTCTCAAGCTGTAAGTCTGGCCACATGTTTAACTTGCAAATCCATCTATATCGGTTCCATTCTTGCTCGCTTTTTCTCTCCAATCTTCTCCACCCCATGCCTGCTTTCATGCTCTGATGTAGTTGAGAGCATAGAAACCATTTTATGATGCTAAAAAAGACACTTCAACTAAATGTAGGTCTTGAAATATGAAGGAGAGGTAATGAGGAAAGCGACAATATAGGCATATTGTCACTTTCCTCATTACCTGTCCTTCAACTTAGAGATACATGTCTTTACATGCTTACAGGATACAAGCAAGCTGAGTCACTGCCATAGTTTTCTTCTTCTCATTTTCCTATGGAGGGGAAATGAAGCAGCAGATGTGTCATGGGATAGCATCATCTGTAGTTAAGGAGAAAATGATATTTTTTTCTTTCTAGAGACAGTATAGAGTTGGAAATTATTCTTGTTGATCAGTGGGGTGAGGCCAGTGAACTTTGCATCTCCTTGTGTTTTGAAAATCGCACATAAATAAATATAAATTGTGTCGAAAAACGGTTCATGCAAAGGTCTCAATATTTTTATTCAAATTCAAGTTGGTTCCTTATTTTGCTGATTACTTCTCCAGGCTTGGAGAATACTCTCTCACATGGGACAGAGGATTCAGGTGTACACAAGTAGTGTTTAGCCAGGTCATGAAGGTGGGGATAGGCCACCTTCTTTCTAGACCAATATTCAAGTGGATCAGCACAACATGGCAGAATGGGATCCTCAAGGTACTTCTGATGAACTTTCAATGTATCATCTGCAGTGGCACTGTTGTTACGCTGCAGAGTACTTGAATGCCTGTCCAGGGTTTTTCTCAGGTCTTTTCTCAGGTTTGGTACTCATATCTCGAATGAATATTTTCAACATTCTGATCATTGGGATCACCTTGAATCTTGACACCCTTTTCTCTTTGGCTTGGAGGAAAGGCTCAAGAATTCCAAGGCATTAAATCATAAAATCAGTATCATAGAATACTCCTCATGAGTGAATGGTGACAGCTTGGATCTTAGAGTGAGGAGGACTGCTCCTAGATGCTCTTGGTGCTCATACAGTTGAAACATTGCGAAGGTGCAGTTCCATCTTGTTTCCACTTACTAAATCAGTTGAAGCCTACCCATCTGGTGCAGGAACTGTGACAGCCTGTCCTTGGCTGTTGTGCTGGATATGAAGTGAATCACGATCTTGTGCCCTCGAGTACAGAGATCTTCTAACTAAGGGACTGAATCAATGGCTTTCTTCACCACCAAGTTGAGACCATGGGATAAGTAGTGTAAATGGCAGATTTCTTAACGTTTCAACACAAGCCACCATGTTTACTGGAACATCAGTGACCATGCAGCTCACTTTTTTCCCCATCAGAGTGGCTTTTGCCTCTGTGATATGAGCTGATGTGTGGGCCTTGGGGAACTTGGCCATGCCCAGAAGGATGGATGAGAGCTTCCAATCTGAGGTCACATAGTGGCATAGTGGCACATCAGTTGCAGAGGTTTGACATTGCATTCTGGAAGGCTTGCCAAGAGAGCATATAGTCCAGTCTGGTTAGAACAAGAGCTTGGACAAGGAGTTTTGTAGCTTGCACTGATAGGAAGGGCATGATCCTTTTAATGTTGTATATGGCAAATATGCGGAACTGGGCAGTTCTAGCAATGTGGTCTGTGAAGTTCAACTGACTACCACAATCACAACTCCAAGGCTTCTGGCTGTCCTGTACGGAGTTATGGTTAACAAACCTAGCTGAAAGCAGAAGTTTTGTTGGAGTGTTGGGTTGGCTGGGTCTGCATGGTTTAGTTGAAGGTGGTTGTCTTTCATCTAGCAAGAAATGTCTGTCAGGCAGGCTGAGGTGCAAGCAGCTACTGTCAGAACCTCTGGTTGGAATGAGAGGTAGAGCTGTGTGTCATCAGCATAGCAGTGATAGGAAAAAAACATGTTTCTGAATTACAGATCCTAGTGATAACATGTAGATGAAGAAGAGAAGTGTTCCAAGCCCTGAGCCCTGTGGCACCCCACCTTTCCACGGCACCCTGAAGGACCTACCTGAGAGGTAAGACTTGAACTATTGTAGTGCGGTTGCTGAGGGTTGACCGGAGGATGTGGTGGTTAACTGTTTCAAATGCAGCAGGCAGTTCCAGCAAGATGAGTACTGAGGATTTGGAAGTTGCTCTTGCCAGTATCAGAGCTTCAATATGCGAGAACAGGGCAGTCTCAGCTGAGTGTCTGCTTTTGAAACCAGACTGGTTGTTGTCCAGGAGGTTGTTCTGTGCAAGAAAGTTTAAGACTTGGTTGAAGATGACTCATCAAGTGTTTAAGCAATGAATGGAAGGGATACCAGTCTGGTATCCCAGGGATACCAGGGATACCAGTGGGTTTCTTAAGCAGTGGGGTTGCCCGAGCCTGCTTAAATGCTGTGGGAAAAGTACCAGTGTGAAGAGAGGAGTTGATGATATGAGTGAGTGCGGGGACAACTGAAGAAGAAATGGCTTAAAGGAGATGAGTGTGAATATGATAAAGTGTAGAGGTAGTAGGGAGATTGGAAAGGATGAGTTTTGAGACTGCCTCCGAGAGTGGAGAGAAGCCAGAATGTGTGTGTTAGCTGTTAAGATGCACGTGTCAAAATGTGGTGTTGAAAATTGGTCGCCTATCGTGGTGGTTTTATTTATTTTACTCTCGGCAGTCCTGAGCTTAGAACAATGCTCGCGGAGAACATCAGATAACCAGGGGGCAGAGAGGGGTTGGCTGGCCTGGATGAAAGGGGGCATAAGTTGAATAAGCACGATGTTAGAGTGGAGAAAATAGTATCAGTTGCACTGTTAGAATCTAGAGATGAGAGCTGATTCGGGGGAGGAAGTGTGGATGAGACCAAAAAGGATAGGCGGGAGGTTGAGAGTGAGTGTAGGTTACGCCAAAAGGTGACGACCTGATAAGGAGTGTGTGTTGTGTCAGACTTGCAATTACAGAGACCAAAAGAAAAGAAAGTAATGTACTAGAATCACAGGGAAAGTACACAGGCTCTTAGGATTGCCCTGCCTCCTACGTGAGACATGATTTACGAGTGTTAGTAATAGTAGGGATTTGGAATCACATAGTGAAAACAGGTCAAAAGAACAAGCAGACGAGAACAAGCTGTATAAAAGGAAAGAAAAACAATGCTCAAGTTCCTTGTTTTTGCTCAGTGGAGTCACGCAGGTAGATTCGCTGGTCTTTACACTCTTCAGTCCTCAAACGAGGGCTGCCACTGTATATACCAGGGTGGCGCCGACAGATCAGGGGCCCAGGAAGGATCAGCCTCCATAGCATTGACCCATAAGCTAGGCTCGGCCACTAAGGCTGGAGATGTACAGTAGCCATCAATGGACACTTGTCAGAGGACTCTGTACTGTGCTCAGGGTCTGGTGTGGAGCTGTTAATGGACATAAAGTATAAAGGTTAGAGCCATAATAGACAGTGCAATGCTCTCTGAGTTAGGCACTAAAATTGTCCTTACTTGAATGGACTGGGGAATTTCACCTTCTGGAGTGGACTGGGGAAATTCTCTCCCTGGAGTGGACTGGGGAATTTCTTACATTGGAGTAAATTTGGGAATTTCTCTTACTGGAGCGGACTGGGGAATTTCTCTCACTGGAGCGGACTGGGGAATTTCTCTCACTGTAGCGGACTGGGGAATTTCTTACACTGGAGTCGACAGGGAATTTCTCACAATGGAGTCGATGGGGAATTTCTCACTCTGGAGTCGACGGGGAATTTCTTACACTGGAGTCAGCTTGGGAATTTCTCTCACTGGAGTCGACAGGGAATTTCTCACACTGGAGTCGACGGGGAATTTCTCACACTGGAGTCGACAGGGAATTTCTTACACTGGAGTCGACTGGGGAATTTCTCACACTGGAGTCGACAGGGAATGTCTTAAACTGGAGTCGACTGGGGAATTTCTCACACTGGAGTCGACGGGGAAGTTCTCATACTGGAGTCGACAGGGAATTTCTTACACTGGAGTCAACTGGGGAATTTCTTACACTGGAGTCGACAGGGACTTTCTCACACTGGAGTCGACAGGGAATTTCTTACACTGGAGTTGACTGGGGAATTTCTCTCACTGGAGCGGACTGGGGAATTTCTTACACTGGAGTAAATTCGGGGATTTCTCTCACTGAAGCTGACTGGGGAATTTCTCTCACTGGAGCGGACTGGGGAATTTCTTTCTCTGGAGAGGACTGGGAAATTTCTTACACTGGAGTCGACGGCCAATTTCTTACACTGGGGTCGACGGGGAATTTCTTTCACTGGAGCGGACTGGGGAATTTCTTACACTGGAGTCGACGGGCAGTTTCTTACACTGGAGTCGACAGGGAATTTCTTACACTGGGGTCGACGGGGAATTTCTTTCACTGGAGCGGACTGGGGAATTTCTTAGACTGGAGTCGACGGGCAGTTTCTTACACTGGAGTCGACAGGGGAATTTCTCTCACTGGAGCGGACTGGGGAATTTATTACGCTGGAGTAAATTTGGGAATTTCTTTTACTGGAGAGAACTGGGGAATTTCTGGCATGGGAGCAGAATCTTGTTTTCTGCAGTGTTTTAGCAAAAGTATCTACCGGTATTTTGCTGCACACCGTGTTTTGCTACTGTTAAAATAACCACGCCATCTGCAGCACTTAGTGTGGCACTTTACGTTAACAAGGGGGAGAGAGAGAGAGAGAGAGAAGCAACACGCACAGTGCAGAAAGGTCTTGAATGAAGCACTTCTGGCTCTAGATAAAAAATACTATTGATATAACTCTGAAATATCATTACCATAAACAACCATGAGTGCTTGTAGTGTGTACCACTCCGTTGTTTTGATGCTCACTTTAATTTGTAGAAATGGTATAATGGCACAATTAAGTTCCTGTGGTCCGGATGGAACCAAGTTGTGGTCTGCCATTGGAATAACACTGCCATAGAGCCATACCTGTAAGTTTTCACATAGCAAAAGTAAAAACAGTTGCTGTGAGTGTCCTCAAATGTAATAAGCAATAACACAGAGGCATGCATTGATGAAACAGCATTGTGTTCCACTCTAAGTTCTGAGTAGCGATGGTGCGGACATGTCCTTACATTTCATTAGTGCATGATTCATTCATAGCGCTGGTGCCACCCTCACACAGCAATTAGGAGGGTAGCACTAGCGCCATCAGCGAATTAATTGGTGTGATTTTATGTGGGCTTCAGTCAATTATCACACCTGGAGGTTGTTTCCATAGTATCAGCTACTGACACAGTATCACATCAACTTATTAAAGGGAATAAATGGATGGGACGGCAGAACTCTATCCTATGAACTGTGCAGACAAGAAAAAACTTTCCGTTGCTATATGGCTTAAGTACTGAAAACGTAAAGCTATGTTTGATGTGTACAATATATACAGTTTAACACCATTGCTACTGTCAAGCATAGTGGTGAAAGGATTGATTCAAGATCTTATTAACATTGAAATAAACAGGCAATAGAAGCAAGTTTTACAGCATAGCAATGACCCAAAGCACATAGCAAACGATTCATGAAGGCATGTGAAAAAGAATATTGGTATTTTGTAATGATTCAGCAAAGCCTAAACATAAAGATTTGAATCCACTTTAGAGTAAGGCTGCATCTAACAATTATGTTTGTTGTCGATTACTCTATTGATTCGTTTTTTGATTAGTCAGCAATTATTTTTCTGATTAATCTGATGGTTATATTTTGCATTAGCTGATTCATCTTTTGGCTAACTTTCCAATAAATAATAAGTACAACATCTACCATTAGTGTTTCAAACTTTTATTAAAATCAAATTATTAAATAATTTTCTAAAAAAAATACTTTGAAACATTGACATCCTTTTGATGATGAAATCTTGCACACAGCTTTACCTCTTCCCGAGAAATAAACAAACACAAAAATAACATCAGTATCATATTTAGTTGTAGTGCATCTGTATTATTTGAAATCTATGTGAATCTAACATGAAATCTATGATTGATGACAAAGAATTGTATTTCAGGAAGGGTAGTGTATGAAATATATGAATGCAGTAAGCATATTAAACTTTATTTTTTAAATAATGATACTACTTACTTTAAGATACTATACTACTTTAAGATGTATACATTCACAGAGTAGGCCTAAAAAGGAAGTGTGTTTACTATAATTTGTTATTAATTACTGTATTTGGTTGTATGGTTTACTTAATTGACTAGTCAATAGAGTGCCGAAGTTACGACGTCACTCTGTAGGCCAAAACGCGGAAGTGAGTTAGCACTACGGTTCCCTCGCCCTAAAGCCTATGGGATTTTTGAATGGGTTTTACTAAATCGCCTGAAATAAGGTCTGTGGTGAACAAAGCCTCTAAATATTTTCACGTTTTGATCTATGACATAAACCACACCAGTTATAACCTGCTTGTGGTTTTTTTAACTGTGTCTGATTGTGTTTTTTAAAATCTTTAAATAGGCTTCAAAATGTATAAATTTTGGATTAACTTGTAAAGATTGTCTTGCTAGACAAAACGTGCAAGGGTCACAACCCTTTGTTGATAATTGGGCTTTCAATGTATTTTTGTTCCACTTATCTTTGGTATTTTGTGTAGTTTTTTCTTAAAGACCCTCTGTGATGAAAATCAAGTTTTTAATGTTGTTTAAATGTCTATGTGGTGTTTTTAATATGCTTTAAGACAAGCCATGTGCAAATTCCAAACCCAATACCATTACTGAGTATTTTTTCTTTAAAACTACGCTGAACCAAAGATAGTCTAAAAAATGCGTTTTAAAATCTCTGGTGTTTCTGGCAAACTACCTTGTTACCAATCAAGTCAACGTGCCTGTGGGCTTCAGCATATCATTCACACAAACTAGTAGTGGAGTCTCAAAAGAAGCCAGGTCATCCCGGTATATTTTTCTGTTGACATAAGTCAGGTAGATTTAGCAATATAATGGGTGTATGCACTCTCAAAAAATGCTGGGTTGTTTTAACCCAATTTTGGCTCAAAATGGACAAACTCAAACATTTGGGTTAAAAATGTAATTTAAAAATGTAACCCAATGGCTGGGTTTGTCCATATTTGACCCAAAATTGGGTTAAAACAACCCAAAATCTTTTAGAGTGTGATGTATATTACAATGTTATGATGAACTATATAACTTTATTCAGTGACGTTGTGTGGTTCAAAGTGTTTCTAATGATTTTTTAAAAGGCTAATTATGTGACCAACATTGTAAAGAGCCAAACAATTGTGCAGCATTACCCCAGTACCTCAGTAACTTGGCCGAGTGGATCTGTGAGCAGCTGTGAGTGAGTGGAGACAGGGCTAATTGCCATATTCATGGATCCGCATACAGAATGAAACAAGGGATACATTTGCATTTAATCTATTTTAAGGCATGAAGATTTTTTTTTTCCACAGGAAAAAACCTTCGTTTGTCATTTTGGTGATCAAATATGAGTTTTAAAGGATAAAATGATCAACTACAGGGGGATTGTACAGGAGTATTTTTAAATGTTTGCTTGTATGTAGTTTTCCGGACCAACTCTAATTGTTTTGCAGATGGCTACCCCAAGGAGGAGATTGTATACAAGTGGAAGCGCAGCTCAGTGGAAGTTGGAGACATCCGCTCCTGGCGTCTTTACCAATTCTCCTTTGTTGGCCTGAGGAATACCACAGAGGTTGTCAGGACTGTGTCAGGTAAAGTTTCAGGTTTACTTTGCATCTTTAATTCTTGTTTGCTGTTGTTTATTATTTCAGATGCATTTTGGTAAGACTACAACTGAAAAATGTATATATTATAAATAAAATTCAACCCTCAAAAGTGGCCAGTTGGAGGGACTGTGTTACACACCACTTCTGAAATCCCCACGCATATGGCAAGTTGGCGAGTGTTAATGTCAAGCCCTGGTAGTGTGTATGAGCACCACTAATTAAGCCGTTTCTCACAACAGGCACCAAATTAATATTGTGAGTTTGGTCACATGCCACCTAAAGTAAGTGTGAGAGTGTCAGATGACTGTTCTTCTTTAATTTTGGCACACCCGTGATGAATTTCACTGTGACAGTAACAAACAATCAAAGACTGTTGAATAAATAATGTTTCCTCAAACCGTAGCAAATGCTATGGGAACTCTATACCACAGTGAAATGTATTTATGGAAAAAATTGGCCTTGTTACAGTCTAGAAATGCAATTTATTTATTCATTATTATTCATTTTTCTTTATTATATTTACTGATGACTTTCTTTTCACACTTTTTAAATCCCTCATTTCTTTTAAATCCCTCATCAAACTTCTCACTTCACCTTCTTTGGCTTTAGATCAAATGCCCTTCTTAAAAAAATAAACATTCAAATGATCTTTATTAAATTAGTCATAAAACAATGACTCATAACAGAGTTAGCTAGCATGTTAGCTTAGCACAGAATCAAAACACGAAAACTTATGAGATTCAAATAGTATTTTTGCCCCAAACTCACTTTATAACGCCAGTCGAGAGTTTGAGATAACCTTTTATGATCCCATGTGGTGTCTAATGCTGATGCCATCAGACCTAACAGTTTTTGAAACTGCTTTACAGTGGCTGGCCTATGAAAGCAAGAACACAATATTGGTACGTTTCGTGTCTGTCCTCTGTGAAATCATAAGAGCAGCACTACGACGAAAGCACCCGAGACCCCAGTGTAGAGTCCAGGTCCAAAGAGTAAAACCTGATGAATGTATGGTAAAGACCACCCTGCCACATCACAAACGTCCTGTAGGGGCACACCTGACATTAGAGCCTTAGAGGCCGCTATACTCCTAGTAAAGCAGTCCAGTTGACTCATAAGCAAGTGAGATAGTCTCAACCACCCACCTGCTCATTCTCTGCTTACATACTGGGGATCCTTTGTTAGGGGGCCCAAATTGTTCAATTTTATGCCATAGGGCAACTCTGTGGACACAGGCATCCAGAAGATTGATCTTTTCCTGGTCTGAATCTTGAAAAGCCTCTCTAGGATAACTCTAGGTTAAAGAAATGCTTGTAACAATGCCAGGCGCAACCACGAGGGTCACCCGACAATGTCTATAGATCTTCTATTCTTTTAAGAGATGAGATTGTGAGGAGGAACAGAACTTTCAAAGTAAGAAACCTAGCTGGCACCTCCTCCAAAGGCTCAAAGGGAGCCTTGGAGAACGGCCTTGAAGGACAAAGGCCAGATCCCATGTCGGCACCCTGGTGCGAGCTGCCTTAGAGTACCTGCCTCAGCCGTAGAGTACCATGGAGGAAACAAGATACCAAAAGACATCCACCTAAAGGAATGTGGTAAGCACCTATGGCCACCACATACACTGTTAAAGTGGACAGGGATAGACGTGCAGTGAACTGCTCCTGCAGGAAGTCCAGCACTGTACCAACTGGGCAGTTAACTAGGTCCACCTGACGGTCACTAAACCATTAAGTGAAGACTCTCCACTTCAGAGCATAAAGTTTTCTCGTGGAGGAAGCTCTGTATTGTAGAATGGTCTCCACAACTGTACAACAGGTCAAAAGGTATCACGTTGGACACTGCTGCCATCAGATCCAACAGTCTCTGAAACTGTTTGACAGTGAGTGACTGGCCAAGCTTTATTCTTTTCACGGCTGACAGGATAGACTCAATGCATGCCGGTGACAGCAACATAGAATCCCAAACCATGCCCAGATAAGTGGTCCTCTGTAGTGGAGAAAGCACACTCTTTTTGGCGTTTAACCGTAACCCCAACTCTCTCATGTTGGCGAGAACCACATCTCAATGCCGAACCACCAACTGCGACTGAGCTAGAATCAACCAGTCATCAATGTAGTTCATGATGCAAGTATCCTGCAGACGCAGACGCCAGAGCTGCATCTACGCATTTCGTGAAAGTATGGGTGATAGTGTTAAGCTGATCTTTCTGTGAAATATGGAAGTATCCTTAAGGAAGTGTCCTTGAGATCTATTGTGACAAACCAGTCCTCAGATCTGATCGGTGACACGATTTGTCTCAGTGTTAACAATTTGAACTTTTAGCTGCATGACTGATTCGTTCAGAACTCTCAGATCCAAAATGGGAGCAACCCCCCATCCTTCTTTGCAACGATGAAATAAAGACTGTAAAACCCGGTTTCCCTGCTGGAGGGAGGTACATGTTCCATGGCCCCTTTCTCCAACAGGGTTTTCATTTCTTGTTCCATTACCAGAATCTGTTCAGGGCTCACCATGGTGGATAGGACCCCCATAAACCTGGGCGGCCTAGACCCGAACTGTATTTGATAACCCTTTTCTATGGTCTGCAGGACCCAATGAGAAATATTTGGCAGTAGCTTCCGTGCTGTCAAAAATTCTACTAAAGGTACCAGCCTCTCGAGACTGGCTTCTGGATTTTGTTGTTGTTGTGCAATCAGTCCGACGCACTGTAATGGTGAACCGGAAGGGAAAGACCGAACTGACTGCTCTGGCATCCCACTACGTTTCCTGGTGGACCCTGAGATATGTGCTCGCTGTAGACTGCTGCGACCTGAAGCACACAAGGTGGCAGGGTTAGCATAACGGTCCCCTGAGGGCACTGAGGGCACCATATAATGAGGTGGTATAACTTCCCTCATTGGCCTGTGCCCTCGGACGTCAGAACCTTTTCACTGCAGCCTTCTTAGAAATAATGACAGTCCTCAGATCCGTCTTACACTATGAAGGCTGCGGTTGACTGTGCTTTCCTGCGGTTGACTGTGTCCCCAGTCTTTTTGTGGGGGAGCACAGGAAACTCTTGTTTTGTGTGGCATCGTGTGAGGAGCCGGCTTTTGATGTTTGGGGCTACTCCCACTCAGCAGCCCCGGAGACATATATGTGGCGGGGGTGGAGTTTCTGGAATGCAGCCGCTTGTTTAGTTAAGTCTTGAAACATCTCGACAACCGAATTCCCTGCGTTGCCAAAGAGGCCAGACGGTGACAGAGGTGCATTCATGAAAACATTTTTTTTTTCCATTATATTACTCAAGTTGAACCAGAGATGTCTCTCAGTGACCACTAGGGTTGCCATAGAACGACCTGACCAGCAGCTGAATAAGCCTTACCCACCAAAGCTGATGATGTTCTAACTTGCTTGGTGACGTTGTACTAGCTGGCTTGGCCCGAGCCTTGGGGAACTCAATTCTGAGCGTCCTCGCAAAAGAACGCCTGGCAGGATCGTAGTGTCCGCATTGGAAGCACCTCGCAGTGCTCTTGAGTGCTGACTGTGCATGTTCCTCACCCACACATGCAACACACAGAACTTGTGTTTCGCCACCCATTAAATAGCGAGGGCGTGGGTGCACAGAAATTCTGAACTGCTGCTGCTTACTCGCCTACTATATAAAGTGACAATACAACACCAAATAGACAAGAGACAGTTTTACACAGAGAGCTTAAGAAGACACAGAAGCTAGTACTGCTTTGTTTGGGCAGGCTTTATAGTTTCCTGGTTCATGACATCACCCGCCTCTGAAGTTCCATCACACCATTGGACTGATTTTACATGTGCTTCAAGACATCATCATGGAAAGTCATTATCATGGAACAACGCGAGTTCCCTTGAAAGGGAACGCAACAGACAGAGCCAAAGGGGAGAATGGATTCAGGGCTGTATTCACGCTGTGTAGAGTTGTGTGGGGTGGGCGTGAATTAAGCGTTATCTGCTGTAATGTCACAATCGTATTGCATTGAGGTATATTGATCTGCATGAAGAATATATATTGAGTAGACTGTCCAGATAAACTTCCCTATTCCACTTGACGAAGATGAACACTCTTCAAAATGACAGTGGGGATTCCCCCGATGGGGAAGTTCAATAGTGTATGTCTAAACTTAAACGCTGCCCAGATCCACCTGAGGGATGGATTGGAAATGGCATTTTTCCTTTCCATTGCTTAAACTTATCCAGTATCTTCGACTTTTTTTAGAATAAAATATCCAAATGCAAAATTATACTCAATTCAATGCATTTTTTTTCTTTATACATGCAAGTTCCTACCCTGTGCTGCAGCTATTTTAACCATCTTTTGGCAAACTTTCTTGTGATTTGCATATGTCTCAATGCAAGAAAGAAACAGAAGGAAAAGAGAGAGATGAAAAATGTTGCCCTCAAACAGAAAATGTCTGAGAATATTCCCACTGTGCAGAGATAAAAGGCAAATAGGCATATCATCTCATCTCATTTTTTTTTTACACTCCCACCATTTGTTCCATTACAGGCATGTTGCCCTCAAACAGAAAATGTCTGAGAATATTCCCACTGTGCAGAGATAAAAGGCAAATAGGCATATCATCTCATCTCATTTTTTTTTTACACTCCCACCATTTGTTCCATTACAGGCAAGCAGACTGTGAGATGAGATCTCTTGGCAGATTCAGCCTTTGAGGTGTTGTGCTGTGCTCTCATTAGGGACAATCTGAGCAATGGGCTTCTTTGAAGTCCTTGAGCTGAGAATGAAATAAATCCAATGGAGATGACACAGCTACTTCAGTCAAACACTCATATCATCTGAGCAGAGGACTGATACCACCGCCTTGTGCCATCATCTATATTTCTTTATATAGAAAAAAGCCTATATGACAAAAACAGCAATAGGAAGAAACAATTTTAGTTCAAAAACAAACTCCCTCTTCTGCTTTGAAAGATTAGGTCTTAAGAAATTACTCAAATATTTGATTTCAAAATAA